GGTTGCCTCTTGCTTCTTTCCCAACTTCATGCCATTATGAATTTAGCTACTGATACCCAAAAAAGTACATATGATCACACAAAATATTGAGAAGTACTCTTATTTGACTTTATAGTCAACTCGTGTGTGTGTGTGTGCATGTGTGTGTGTGTGTGTGTGTTTTAAGCGAGGCAACCATTGGTCGACCTCACAGATTGCAAGGACCTTGTCAGCTCACAGTCCCTTATTTTTTATTTTCTACGCCTACAGCACTTGGTCTTCCTAGGTGGTCTCCCATCCCAGTACTAACCAGGCCCAACCCTGCTTAGCTTCCGAGATCAGACAGGATTGGGCTTGTTCAGAGTGGCATGATCGTAGACTGTGCTTTTTTTTTTTTTAATGAAATCTCTGGATTTAACTAAGAATTCAGTAACTACCATTGTTACATTTTATTTTATAGATACAAATGTAAAAAAAAAAAAGATCTAGTTGCTTAGGAACTCTGAAGGCTATAATACAATATTGTTGTCTATAATCACCATGCTATGCTTTAGCTCTCCAGGACTTATTTATCTACTAATTGCAAATTTGTATCCTTAAACAACATGTCACCAGTTCCTCACTCCCCATCCCCTGGTAACCAGCATTCTACTGTTTTTATGAATTCAGCCTTTTTTAGGTTCCACATATTAGTGATATAATACAGTATTTAGATTTATTAATTTATTTCAGAATTTTCTTCTTTTTTATGGCTGAGTTTTTTATTTTATACATACACACTACGTTTTCTTTAAGAATTCATCTCTTGATGGACACAGGTTGTTTCCATGTCTTGGTTATTGTGAATAATGCTGCCATGAATATGGGAATGCAGATATCTCTTAGAGATAGTAATTTCATCTCCTTTCTTGTTCTTTATCATCTCAATAGATGCAGGAAAAGCATTTGACAAAATACAACATTCTTTCCTGAAAAAACCTTCAACAAATTGGATACAAAAGGAACATAAATGACAAACCACAGCTACCATTATACTGGTAAAAGATTGACAGCTTTTCAGTCACATACGAAAGCTCCATCCTTTTATTACCCTCTTTATATTTTTGATGTTACAATTTACCTCTTTTTTTATATTGTGTATTTATTAACAGATTATAGTAGCTACAGTTATTTTAATTATAACTCTTCCTTTAACCTTTATCCTATAGCCAAATGATTATATATTTATCTTTACCAGTGGGTTGTATACTTTCATATGTTTTCATGTCACTATTTAGTATCCTTTCCTTTTGTCTTGAAGGAAATTCTTGTGAGCAGGTAATGAACTCCCTCATATTTTGTTTTTCTGGAAGAGTCTTTATTTCTCCTTCATATCTGAAGGATAACTTTGCCATATAGAGTATTCTTGGCTGGCAATTTTTTTCCTTTCAACACTTTGAACATGTCTTCCATTCTCTCCTGGCTTGTAGGGTTTCTGCCGAAAAATCTGCTGATAGCCTAAAGGGAGTTCCTTTGAAGGTTATAATATTTTCTCTGGATGCTTTTAAGATTCTTTCCTTTTCTTTGATTTTTGACAGTTTCATTATAATGTGTCTTGGAGAAGGTCTTTTTGCATTGAGATGAAAGGGTGATATCTTAACTTTGTGAACTTGGATGTTTAAGTCTCTCCCAGGTTTATTTCTTTAAATAAACTTTCTGACCCCTTACTCCTTTTTCTCCTTCTGGGACCCTGATTATACTAATATTTGTACATTTGATTGAATCCCATAGATCATGTATGCTTTCTTCACTTTTTTTTAAATTCTTTTTTTCTCTGTTTGCCTCTAATTGAATTATTTCAAAATTCCCATCATCTGGGTCACTTATTTTGTTTTCTATTTGATCTACCCCAATGCAGATTCCCTCAACTTTTTATTTAATTCATTGAATTTTCAGCTCCAGAATGTTTGTTTCATTCTTTTTCATAGTTTTTATCTCTTTGCTAAATTTCTCATTTTGTTCATGTATATTTTTCCTGATTTTGTTGACTTTTCTTCTGTGTTTTCTTAGAGCTCATTGTTTTCTCAGAACAGCTCTTTTGAATTCTTTATCCAGTAGATTGCAAGATTTTGTGTTTTTGAGCTCAGTTATTTGAAGAATTATTACCTTTTTGTGATGACTTTTTTTTCTGATTATTTATGTTCCTTGTAGTTTTTGCATTGCTGATTTTGCCTTTGATGGAGCAGACACCTCCTCAACTCTTTACTAGTTGCCTTCAAGTGGGGAACTGTTTGTTGAACCTGTTATATCTGGGGTTCTCTCTGACCCTGTATTTACATACCTGCTCTGCATATTTTGCTCCACTTTGTGGCAGATTTCTTAAGCTTTTGTATCTTCTCTGGTTCTTACAGTTCACCTGTCTGGCTGCTGAAAACCTCTCTTTCGTTTTCCAGAAGGTGGCGCTTTAACTCAAGTTTCTGGTTTTCCATTGCCCAGTATTCTGGGTTGAGTTGCTGAAGAGAAATGGGTTTATCCTGCAGCATCTGGCACAGCTCTGGTAGCCGGGCACTATGCACTACTCTCCTTTTCCAGCTATGGAGAGGTCGTCATGAGATAGTTCAGTCTTGTGCTGTGTCACCTTGGTGGGGGGAGGGGGGACAGTGCTCAAAAGTTTCTCTTCCTCTCTCTGCTGAATCCCAATTCATCTTATTTGTTTATTTGTTTGCTCCAATGGTTTGCTGGAATCTCCCCTCTAGAGGGATGGATTTACAAATTTTCTCTCTTCTGTGAGTATTTTCCCAAGGCAGCACTCTTCAGGTTTTCCTCAGCCTCTCTGGGAAGGTTTGAGGCGGGTTCTCTGCCTATTACCAGATGAACAGGTGGGCGAGACTCCTCCCAAGCCCCTCAGTACATGTTGTTGGATCACACAATTCTCACAGAAACACTTCTCTTTGTGGATAGATGCCTAATTAGTTGTAAAAGAGTGGGAGACAAAAAGTAGGGATGTCTTACATGCCACGATGCTGGTGTCACTCCCTTTTCACTGCATTTACATCATTTGTTGATTACTCTTGTATTGACTGTTCGTATTTTCTATTTTCTTCTCTACTCTTCTCTTTGTACTTATAATTTATATTTATTTTATCTACATCCCTGTCATTTTTGTGGAGGTTTCAGAGAGAAGGGAGGATCATAAACACATGTGCTCAATATGCTGTGTTTAGACTGATGGAGCCTTTTGGGGTACACTTTAGAATACATAAAACTTCAAAATGCCTATGTCTTTGATACAGTTGTTCTATTTCTCGATAACTAACCCGTAGAAATAATTTTGCTTGCATGTAAAGAAAGAGATGTGTACAAGGACACAAGGATATTGACTATCACATTGATCATAATAGTGAAAAATTGGAAACAATTTATATGCTATCAATAAAAAATGGTTAAATAAACTTTGATAGATCTATACTACAGAACACTATGCATCAGGCAAAAAGAATGCTATTGACATATCTGGAAATCTCTCTAAGAAATGCTCTTAAATTTAAAATGCAAATGTATGTCATATATGAACCTACTTATATTCTTTAAAAACTCATAAAACAATGTATATTTTAATTGATACTCACCAGTGAATGTAGATTATGGAAAACTAAATTGCAGGTGTCAATCATGGGTCCTGTCAGAATAACCATGTCCTGTGACTCCAGACCAGGCATGTCCTCATGTTCTCACACTTAGCTAGAAAGAAAAAGCTGTTCACCCAAAGGCTCTAATTCTACTGAGCTCGTCACATGGGGATCATGCTGGGCCCACTAAGCATATTTGTCATCACAGAATGACTTTTTCCTCTCTCAACAAGGGAGAGCTCAAATTTCTCCCCAACAAATTAACCTGATAAAGTCATTCCAAAATGCCTGTATTGGCTTTCAGTCTGTGATTGTATAAATTATCTATTGCTGCAAATTATCTCAAAATGTAGTGACCTAAAACAACATACATTTATTATCTCTCGGTTTCCACGGGTTAGGAATCTGGGTTTGGTTTGGCTAGGTTCTCTGATCCAAGGTCTCCCACAAGGTTGCTGCAAGACCAGGGCTGTGATTACCTCAAGGCTTTGCCAGAGGGTGATTCACTTCCAAGCTCACTGACATGGCTGTTGGCATGATTCAGATCTTTGCAGGCTGTTAGCCGGAGACCACGCTTGGTTCCTCGCTGTGCGGACCTCTCTGTAGGGCAACTCACTACACGGCAGCTGGCTTCAGCAGAGCAAGAGAGTGAGAAAAGCCAGAGAGAGAGTGTGAGCAAGTTGGAAGTCAGTCTTATGTCACCTAATCTTAGACTCATCTATCCCTTTTGCCATATTCTATTTGTCAGAAGTAAGTCACTGGGTCCAGCCCACTAGGTCCAGCCCTCAAAGGACAGGGCTTGCATAAGGATGTGAATACCAGGAGTTGGGGGGCACCTTAGAAGCTACCTACATTTGTTGACAGGCCTGTAATGGTATACTGAGAATAAAAGAGATTGTTTGTCCTTGATTTTATTTATAAATTTGCCATCGAAAAGAAGAAAGAGGAAGAGAGGGAAGGGGAGAGGGAGGAGGGAGAGGAGAAGCAGAAGCACAAACAGCTGCCTGCAATTGTGGTTAAAAGGTTATTCAAGGGATTGTGGGAGCAAATTCAGATGCAAAGATTTTTCTAGTATAGGCGAAAATAGGCTTTGGATAGACATCTCATATTCAAATGACATTTAAACATAGTCGCTTGCATACAGTAGGTGCTAAGTATTCTTTAACGTTTCATTTCGAAATAATTTCAAATTTAAAGTTGCATAAATAACAAAGAATTTCATATACCCTTTACCCAGATTCACCATTTGTAGATAATTATATTTTTGAATACATTATGCAGTTTGTCACATGAGAGGCACTATTTGTAACCATCAGAGGGTCTGTTGAGAGGTATGCAAGGTACTCTGGAGTCATATTTGCTCTCTGCATATGGAGTGGTCATCTCTTGAATGCTCTCTTCTTCCTCCTCCAGAGAACCCTGAGCGAGCAGCTCTGTACTTCGTCTCCGGTGTGTGCATTGGGCTGGTCCTCACCCTGGCTGCCCTGGTGATGAGGATCTCTTGCCACACAGACTGCCGCCGGCATCCCAGGAAGAAATTCCTGCAGGACCAAGAGAGCAGCAGCGACAGCAGCGACAGTGAGGATGGCAGCTCGGACACAGCATCTGACATCTCGGTCAGGAGACACCGCCGCTTCGAGAGGACTTTGAATAAGAACGTCTTCACGTCGGCGGAGGAGCTGGAGCGCGCGCAGCGGCTTGAGGAGCGGGAGCGCATTATCAGGGAGATCTG